GGCGCCCAGGCGCGCCCGCCCCGCGCGGGGCTCTCGCCTCGGTCTCCCGCGCCCGCCTCTGCCGGCTGCCGGCGGCCCAGCTGTCACTGGTGAGGAGGCGGCGGGAAGCGCGGGGTGGGGGAGGCGCCGGGAGCCGGGGGTCGGCGCGGAGCGCGGGCGGGAGAACCCCGCCACCCGGGCGTCGGGGCGGGCTGGGCCGACTCCTGCCCCGTTGGACTTGCGGTCACGGTAGTGGAGCCCGAGCCTGGGACACGCCCCCCTCCCGGGGCACTCAGGGAAGTTATCTAACCCGAGGGCAGGGATCCCCGAATTTGAGGATGACCTGACCTAACCTGGTACCCGGATGATTATTCTAAATGAGACTCACGGGCCCAGGGAGCCAGCTGTTTCTACTCTGGAAAAACATCTCCAAAAGAGCTCCCAAAATACATCTCTGGGTAACCCCAATTATACCTCTAACTGCAGGAGTGGTAACCTTTGCTTCCGCAACCATCGTTCCTGTTAAAATCTCAAGACCAGGACAGTCCCAGGGGAGCTCTGGAAGCTGGGAAACGAGAAGTAGGTTGGGGTGGGCTGGTTAGGGAGAGAGACTGGTCACCATAGCTGGGAGAGCTGGAGTCCAGCAGAGGGGTTTCCTATCCAGCTGTCTCAGGGGTATGGAGACAGGGAGCACTGCTGCTTGAGTCCTTGACAGAAAAATAGGCAAAGAAAAGAGTGTTTCTCAGCTTCCATAACCTCACATTCTGCTTCTGGCTAGGCCCCCCCCAGGATGCAATGGCACAGCCCCCCCGGCTGAGCCGCTCCGGTGCCCCCCCACTTTGGGACCCAGCTTCCCCTGCTCCCACCTCAGGCCCCAGGCCTCGACTTTGGGAGGGTCAGGATGTGCTGGCCAGATGGACAGATGGGCTGCTGTACTTGGGAACTATCAAGAAGGTAAGACCTTTGACCTCTGACCTGTCACCTTTCCCCCAATCTCCTCATCTAGTTCTGATGCCCATTTTACCTTCTGTACTCACCCCCTGCAGGTGGACAGTGCCCGGGAGGTGTGTCTGGTCCAGTTTGAGGATGACTCCCAGTTTCTGGTTCTATGGAAAGACATTAGCCCCGGTGAGACCCTAGAGGCCTGGGAGTGCGTCCGTGGAGGACAGAGACCTGCCTAGAGGACAGGTCCGTGACTCTGTGTTCCCTCGCAGCCGCCCTCCCTGGGGAGGAACTCCTCTGCTGTGTCTGTCGCTCAGAGGCCGTGGTCCCTGGGAACCGGCTGGTCAGCTGTGAGAAGTGTCGCCACGGTGAGAGCACAGGACACCTGAGCGGTCCAGCTTGCCCTGGACATTCAAGGCTGCCCTGTCCCTTCCCGCCAGCTCTGGTCCTTACACCGCCTGTTCTGGCCTGTGCCCCAGGCCCCCGCTCTGGCCAGTCTCTTCAACCCTGTTACCTCCCTCCCTCCCCACCCAACCCAGAGAGAGGCGGCCATGGCAGGGGTGTGTGTGTGTGTGTGTGTGTGTGTGCGCGTGAGCTTTGCAGGCAGAGGGTGGTTCAGATAACCTTTCTTAACCATATGGCCTTGGGCAAGTCTCAAAACCTCTAGGAGCCTCAGTTCCCTCACCTGTAACATTAGGGTAACCCCTGCCCCCCAATAGGACCATGACCAAGAATTAAATGAGATAGATGACTCTTCCTCTCTCAGTACCTAGTACATAGAGGTTTTCAATTCAGTAAGCGCTCTACCATCAATATCATTATTCAGCTTATCACCAGGACTGCCATGTTCCAAGGGCCCCGGCCCCTGGAGAGAGCGAGGGCACGTCCTGGGTCTGCCGCCAGTGCATCTTTGCCATCGCCACCAAGGTAAAGACACCTTCCTATGGAGCGTCCCACCACCGCCTCTCCCAAGCCTTTCCTCGCCCGCCTCTGAGCTGGCCTGCCTTGTCTCTGCAGAGGGGAGGTGCACTGAAGAAGGGCCCCTATGCCCGGGCCATGCTGGGCATGAAGCTCTCCCTCCCGTACGGACTGAAGGGGCTGGATTGGGACGCGGGACATCTGAGCAACCGGCAGCAGAGCTACTGTTACTGCGGTGGTCCTGGGGAGTGAGTACTGAGGGCGGGGCTCAGGGACAAGGAGGCCGCTGGTTGTGCAGGAATCCCCAGGGATGGAGGAGAGAGAACAGGGGCAGCAGTGCTGAAGGGGAGGCAGTCGGTGGTGACCAGGGTTTGGGGCGGTTAAGGGGGAGGGTGTCTGGAGGTCACTGTCCTGTGTGCCCCCTCAGGTGGAACCTGAAAATGCTGCAGTGCCGGAGCTGCTTGCAGTGGTTCCACGAGGCCTGCACCCAGTGTCTGAGCAAGCCCCTCCTCTACGGGGACAGGTGAGACCCGGACAGACTCCGTGACCCGCTCCACCTCTCAGCTCCCCCACGCCTGCCTGTCTCGGATCCGTTCCCTGCAGTCTCGGAAGTGCTGCTCACGGGTTCCGTCCCTGCTCTGTGAGCCCTGCAGAGCATGGTGCTGTCCTCCCGTGTAAGACGTGTTCTCTCTTGCCCACACCCAGGTTCTATGAGTTCGAATGCTGTGTGTGTCAGGGGGGCCCTGAGAAGGTCAGGAGGCTACAGCTTCGCTGGTGAGCTTGACCTCAGTGTAACCTCTCACCCACCTGCCCCAGCCTCCCACTCGGAACTCCCTGGCTTCTGTAACGCTTCCACAACCTTGACACCTCACTGCTTCTCCAGGGTGGATGTGGCCCATCTTGTCCTCTACCACCTCAGCGTTTGCTGCAAGAAAAAATACTTTGATTTTGACCGCGAGATCCTCCCCTTCACCTCTGAGAATTGGGACAGCTTGCTCCTTGGGGAGGTAAGGGGAGGTGGAACTGTGGGGCTGTGGCAGGAGAGGGAGATGGGAAGGGAGGGGAGGAAGGGATTACTGCTTCCTGGACCCCATTTCCCCTCCTCTTGCCCAGCTCTCGGACACTCCCAAGGGAGAACGTTCTTCCAAGCTCCTCTCTGCACTCAACAGCCACAAGGACCGGTAAGGTGGAGGCTCGGGGAGACGATGTGGATGTGGCTGCCTGGGAGGGAGGTGCTGGCATCCATCAGACACCACCTCTGGAAAGGACGGAGGAGGTCAGCAGAGGGGCCCTTTTCTATAACACTGACCTGTATCATCTCTCTCCTCACCCCAGTTTCATTTCAGGAAGGGAGATTAAGAAGAGGAAATGCTTATTTGGTCTTCACGCTCGGATCCCCCCTCCTGTGGAGCCACCTACTGGAGATGGAGCCCCCACCAGGTCACTGGTCTAGGGAGGATGGGGGAATTCTCAGGGTATTCACCTGGGGGCAAATGTATATGGAGGTGGGGGTCTTCGGGGTGTCCGGGAGGGGGCTGGGGGGATAAGGAGGCCTCTTACAGCTTCCCTTCAGGGCAGGGCCCTGGGGGAGGGGTTCCACGTCCCCTGGGGAAGCGCCGGAGGCCGGAGCCAGAGCCCCTGAGGAGGCAGAAGGGGAAGATGGAGGAGCTGGGGCCATCCTCAGCGGCGTGCAGCCAGCCAGAGCCCCAGGAGCAGAGGCAGCGGGCCCCTCTGCAGAGGGCACTGCAGGTACAGGGCAGCGGGAACCCCATGAGCAGATGCTGGTATGGGGGATTGAGGGTTACCTCTCAGTCCTTTGTTCCTACTTCTAGGCCTCAGTGTCTCCACCACCCCCCAGCCCTAACCAGAGTTACCAGGGCAGCAGCGGCTACAACTTCCGGCCCACAGATGCCCGCTGCCTGCCCAGGTCAGTGCTTTTCCCCTCCAACTGGATATGCTGCCCTAGAACCTCTCCTCTAATTGCCCACATCCTCTGCACTTTGTCACCCAGAATTCTCATTTGGCTACCCACTTTTTGTCCCAGAGACTTCTAGAACCACTGTCTGCTCCCCAGTATCCTGGGGTTGGGGGTTCCTCAGGGGCAGTGTTTAAGCTCTGCCCTTTTCAGGGGGAGACCGTCCTGTTCTGCTTCAGATCCTAACTTTTCTCCCTCCCCAACCCTAGTAGTCCCATCCGGATGTTCGCTTCCTTCCACCCCTCTGCCAGCACTGCAGGGACCTCTGGGGATGGCGAACCCCCAGACAGGTGAGATTCTGCTCCTTTACCTGTGACACCCCTCTTTGCCCCTGTGTTCTTAAGGTCCTCCGTCTCCAACCATTTCTTCATTCCCCTGATCTACCTGTGGTCTCTGTTTCTCATCAGTCCTTACTGGTATAGCTGGACTCACAACGGCCTTCTCTCCCTAGGTCACCCCTGGAACTTCACATTGGTTTCCCCGCAGACATCCCCAAAAGTACCCCTCACTCGATGATCGCCTCGGCACCCTCAGGCCCAGCGCCCTCCCCAGGTCTTCCTAGACGCTCAGCACTCCCTTCTCCCCTGTGCCGCAGCTTGTCTCCGGGGGCTGGGGGAGGAGTCCGAGGTGGGGTTGGCTATCTGTCCCGAGGGGACCCTGTCCGCGTCCTGGCTCGGAGAGTGCGGCCTGATGGTTCTGTGCAGTACCTGGTGGAGTGGGGAGGTGGGGGCATCTTCTGAACAGCCTGCCTCCGCCCACCTCCCCATTCACACACACACCGGCACTTTCGTACCCTGACCTCTGACCTCACCTACAGCTGGGATGTACCTGGGGTAGGCGGGAGTTTTCCTACTGCCCAGTTTTCCTACTGATCAGTTTTCCTACTGATCCAGGGGAGGGGGGAAGAGGCTCTCTTCTCTACTCCCTGATTCCCGAGCTTTCCCCCACCCTGCTTCCCACTTCCTTTGATGTTATTTTGTTACAGCTTTTAAACTATTTTTAAAAATTATTTAACCCCTGGGGATGGAGACTGAGGAGGGGAAGGACGGTAAAGGATTCTGGGCTCTGTATGATTGAAATAAAGATAAACAAACCTGGCAGCTGAGTCATTCTGAAAGATGAGAACACAGGCGCTGGAAGCACTTGCATCTTCCCAACCAAACTCACATACGTGATGAGAAAAGGCAAAGGCAGAAAGAACCAAAGGTGGGATTTATTAGGGCCCTGTCATCCTCTGCAAGCCAGAGGGCACTGAAGTGCGTGAGGGGGACCCAGCAGGAACGGGGCTCCTCATGGGGGGACCGTGCTGGAGTCGGAAGCTGACCCTGTGACCTGGTGCACCCAACGCAGGTACGGGGAGTTCCCCTGCTCCACGGGCAGCGAGATCACCTCGGCCACTTCGTACGGGTGCACAGAGCTGTGGAACAGAGGGGGTGGGTCATTCAGATTGCCCACATTATCTACCTACCTTCTGCCCGCCCCCCAGTTCAAAATTCTCACCGAACAAAATCTGTCAAAGCTGGAACCAGGGAACTTGGGGTTTTAATCATCTAAAGGGTGAAGACAAAAGTGGTTGAATCCACCCATGAGGCTGATCTCAGGATCTCATGAAGGAGAGGGGTCAAAGGTCAGAGCATTGAGGTTTGGTGGGGTGGGGAGGTGGTTCTCACCATCAGCACCTCACTGTCCTCCTCAATCTTTCCTTTCCACTCATAGCTGAAAAGGTGAGAGCAAAGGTTTTCCTCCAGGAAAACGATCGCCAGGCGCCCCGAGCGTTAGGTTAACCCCGACTCCTCTGACTCACATGGATGTGATCTGAGGGATGAGGTTGACACAGGCTGCCAGGCGCTTCTCCACCACTGCCCTGCAGGCGAAGAGACACCCCATTCAGAGCACACCACTACCCGCATTTTTGCACTGCCAGCCCAGGGTTTCCACGCCCAGAGGCGGGAAGCGGCGGGAGGGCGCCCTTCAACACCCCCAACTCTCCCTCATGGTCTCCCTCTTCCCACACTGGGGTCCCCACCTGGCGATCTCCTTGGCGACCTTCTCATTGGGGCAGGTGACAAAGGCTGCAGAGACCGAGCCGGCAACATAACCCGAATCCGAGGTGGGCGAGGGCTGGGCCGGGGGGCTTCCTGACGCCATGGACATCAGGGCTCGGGGTAGCGAGAGGAGGCGGGAGGCCGCAGGCGGCAGCGCCGGCATCCACAGCAGCGCCAGGAGCAGCGCGGCCTGGGACAGGCGGCGAACTCTGTGTCTCCCCACTAATGCCACAGGCAACTGCACCCCAGAAACCCTTCGTTTGGACAGACACTGGGATTCTGCCCTCCCTCTGCTGCACCCCGAAGGAAAGGTCCCTGAAGCTGAGAGAGAAACGTGAAAAATTAAGGCAGAGGCTCGGTTTACACTCCCTCCTCAGGGGCCAACCTCTGGGGTTCGGGTGCGGGTGGCGGTCCAGGCTTCCAGAACCGGAAGGGGCGGGGCCGGTCACTCACCCCTCCGCCGAGCAGGATCGCGGGAGCCCGCACCCCTCTCATGCAGCCTACGCTGGCGGAGGAGGGTTGAATATCAAAGGCCACAAGTCACGCCGAGAAAGGGCGCGGAACCCAGGAAGCGTGGCCTCTACTTACCCGGGTGGTGACCACGTGACAGTGAGAGCTGCGCCTCCAGAGCCAGCCAATCCGGCCCTCGCACGGCCCGGTTTGCCCCGCCTCCCGGCGGGGGAGGAGCGAAGGGGAGCTGACCAATCCACAAAGGATCTGCAGCCGTGTACGGATACGGCCCGCCCGCTTCCGGAACCGGCCAATGGCAGGCTGAGGGGCGCGCGGCGGCGGCCCACTGTCATGTGAGGGGGCGGTCCCCGCGGACGCGGTCTGTCAATGAGGGGCAAGAGGAAGCCAATCGCGGGCCAGCCCTGCGGGCCACGTGACGGGGGAGCTGGCGCTAGGAAAGCGGGGCTGGAGACCCCGCAGACTCGATGCGTCAAGTTGTAGAGTGGGGAGTCATCCTTGGTCCCCAGAGTGCACCCCACAACGGCCCCTGCGCGGCTCCCCGGGCCTGAGGTGGGAGGGTCTGAGGGGGTTTACCCGCGGAGGGCGAAGAGAGCGCCCCCTGCCCTTCTGCCTAGGACTGGCACTCGCCTGGGCTTGGGCATGAACAATGATAATCTGAGGAGAAGCCAGCTGTCCCTGGGTAGGGGGGAGTGCTGAGGCAGGCACGCGCATGGCTAGACCATAGCTGGGTGAGGAAAGACGTCTTTTGGAAGGAGCCCCTGAAAATGGGATGATGAAAACCGGGCTACAGGCGCCTCGGCCTTCTTAACTTGAAACCCCAAAGCTGGAGACAGACTGGTAAATCCGGGAAAAATAGGGCTGAGGTTGGGGATATGGAAAGGACACCGAGAAGTAGTGATGGTCCCTTTGTCCCTATCCCCTTCCTATCTCACTCCCCGGGACTGGTCTACCTGTCAGCTTGGGTCTCCTTCCCTCAACCCATCCTCCGAGGAGCCAGGACCTGCCCTACATAACCTCCCTGGGGCGCAAGCACATCCTGTGACCCAAAAATGGAGAGAGGGGCCAATGAGAGGAGCGTGGTGGGAGGACGAAGCAGAGGAAAAGGCTCTTTCTTGCCACACCCTCCACCCAGTGTTCCTCCTTCCTCCAAGGTCTAGGGTCTCTGGCCCTCGGGGTGGGCATGCCTGGCATTTCCCAGGCTGACACCAGAGTTCCTTCATGCCCACCTCTCTGGGGCTGGGTCTCTTCAGAGCTGCCTCTGGTTTGGAGTTTGTTTCTGAGACACATCTCTGTGGGGTGGGGTCTTTTCCATGTTTGCATGGGGGTTTCTTTTTGTTTTTCTGTTTTAGGGATTTGTTTTCCCGGATCTGTAATCACTCTCTCCAAGAGATTTCAAACTTCTTTTTTTTTTTTTTTTTTTTTTTTTTAAATATATTTTATTGATTTTGTACAGAGAGGAAGGGAGAGAGATAGAGAGCTAGAAACATCGATGAGAGAGAGAGTCATCGACCAGCTGCCTCTTGCACACCCCCTACTGGGGATGTGCCCGCAACCAAGGTACATGCCCTTGACCGGAATCGAACCTGGGACCTTTCAGTCCCCAAGCCGACGCTCTATCCATTGAGCCAAACCGGTCTCGGCAGATTTCAAACTTCTTTATGAATTTTTGGGGTCGCCGAGTTCTCCATCTCTGCACTAGCTAAGTGTCTTTTTTCCTTCCTGCCTCTCTATCTCTGATCTCTTCCTTCCCCTTCTTCTCCCACTCTCATCCCAAGCCCGAGGTCTGCAGTTCTCTGTATCTGGGGTCTCTGATTGACAGCTCTCTCTGCATATGGGTCTAAGTCTCAGATTTGGGTCCCTGAAATAACCATTTGCGTCTACTGCCCAAGATTTCTGTGGCTGTGAACTTTGTGAGACTGGTTGCTCAGTTTTTGACCTTTCACCCCTTTCTCTAGGGGGTCTGTTTTGGGGGCGTTGTTTTGCTTTTACAGAAGTTGAGGTCTGTTTTCCTCTAGGTTTTAGACTGTGCCTCACATTAACCTCCCCACACCTCACCTCCCTGGTGACAAGGTATCGTTCGCTGGGTCTGGGATCTGCAGCTTTAAAACTGTTCTCTCTCCAGTGCTAGCTCGCTTTCTCTCTCTCTCTCTCTCTCTCTCTCTCTCTCTCTCTCTCTCTCTCTCTCGTTTCTGAGTCAGGGGTCTCTGTCTCTCTGATTCCCACTGGTAGGGGTGGGGGCTGCAGAGGCTCTCTCTCTCTCTCTCTCCTCCTCCTCCTGCTCTCTCCTCTCTCGCTCACTCCCCCGCCCCCCTCTCTCTCTCCCGGCTGCCGCTGCTGCCGTTGGCTCCCATTCTCCTCCTCCTCCTCCTCTCTCCTCCTCTCTGCTCCTCTCCGCTCTTCTCTCCTCCTCTCTCCTCCTCCTCTTCCACCTCCTCCTTCTCCCCCTCTCTCTCCCCCTCTTTCTCTCTTCTCTTTCTCCCCCGTCCCCCGCCCCCTCCCTCCCAGGCCTGATGAGCAGGTCTCGCGCCTCCATCCATCGGGGGAGCATCCCCGCGATGTCCTATGCCCCCTTCAGAGGTACGGTGGTGAGGGGAAGGGGAGGGCCAGGGAGGGGAGAGGGAGGGCCAGTTAGGAGGGGTAAGGGGGGAGGGGCAGGGCGGAGGAGGGGGCAGAGCCGAGGCCACGGAGGGGAGCTGCTGAAATGGAGGGAGACAGGAGGACTAGGAAGACAGGATAGGAGCAGTGAGGAAGGAGGGATTGAAGGCCAGAGGACAGGGGAAACAGGGACCGGAGGGGCCAGGAAACAGGCCTCAGAGAGGGCTGAGGTGAAAATGAAGGGGAAAGAGGAGATCGCAAGAGAGGGTGGGAAGATAGGACAGGGTTGGAGGAAGAGCTGCAGAAATAATTCTGAAGCTAAGAGATGAGGAAAATATCAAGGAAATAGAAGGGCAGAGTCAGGAGAGGGGCTGGAAGGGAGGAATGAAAACACAGGGTTGCAAAGAGGAGCCAGGAAGATGGGGGTCAGAATGTGGTGGGGGTGGGGGAGGTCAGAGAATGGTATGGGATAGAAAAAGAGAGGAGGATGGAGGAAGAGAAGAAGGGGCCAGATGGAGAGAGAGGGAGGCAGTGTGTGTGGGGGGAGGAATAGAGGGTCCAGATGGAGGGAAGAGAGGAGAGGGAATGGGTTGGGGGAGGAGAGACCAGGGCAGGGGGAGGGCTAAATATGTGTGTGTTTGTTGAGGGGGGAGGGGGCATACAAGTAAGACTGAGTGATGGGAGTAGGGGGCAGGTTAGACTGCCCAGACCTCTCTAAGGCCCTTGGCCAGGACAATGTAACCCCTGGGGTCTTATCTGCTTCATTCACTTCCCCACTTTTACTCCCATCCCCCATCTCCAATCTTTATTTCCATTTCCCCCTCCCTCCTCTGGTGTCCATCACCTATATCTTTCCCCCCATATGGTGTCCGTTCTTTATATGGGTCCCCCTTCTGTCCTTCCCCTTTATCAGTCCCTTCTCTGGTGTCCTCTCTCTCCCCCTCTCTCCCGCCTCTTCCCCCCTCCTTCTTGACCCCCTTGTTCTAGCACTTCTATTAGGTTCACTTCATCTCTTCTGCCCCAGGTCCAGTTGGGCCCTTCTGGTATATTTTCTTGCAGGGATTTGCCGTGTTTCTACCTCCTCTTCTCCTCCATCCGTCCCTGTTATTTGTCTCCTAGCTCATCCCCTATTGCCTACTCCGTTCCCCATCTTGTCCCCACAAGCCTGTGCCTACCCAAGCTCCCTTAACCTCTTCTCATCCATTCTTTTCTTCTTGTCCCCTCTACTTTTTGGAGTGTTGCAGATTTGGGGTGCAGTTTTGATGGTTGGAATAGGGCTCACAAGCAACCCCCATCCGGGCCCTGTGGGAGTTCTCATTCTAGTAAGCCTTTCCCCTTTCTCAGCTGTGTTCCTCTTGCATCTGCCTCCCAGACTCACTTAAGTCCGGAGTGTGTGTGTGTGTGTGTGTGTGTGTGTGTGTGTGTGTGTTTTTCTGGAGTTGCTCCTAAGCTAAGTTCCCTGTGTTCTTCCCTGCTCCCAGGAAGAAGGTGCCCCCTGAAGTCTAACCTGCCTCCCCGAGGCTGCAGCCTGAGCCAGCCCCTCCCCTAATGACTGTGTATCCGCAGATTCCTTCTCTGGGGCCCTCAGAGTCAGGGCAGGGGCACACCTGCCGTGTCTGCAGCTCAGCCTCGGTGATCTCTGGGTCTAGAGGGGCTTGCTCATAGGGTCTCTGAGGTGGCAGCGAGATAAGTGAGGGCTTCAAAGTGCTGGGGTTTCTAGACATCTGTGTTCTGGGGATCCATCCTGCCTGTGACCTGCAGGTGGGAAAATCTGAAGACCATATTTGTGGACAAAAGGGGACTAGATTTTCTCAAAGCTCTCCTATTCAGGGCATTCAGTTGGAATGAAGCTCAAAGATCAGATATTTTCCTGCAATATGCTCATGAGTAATTACCCTGCAAGGTGACAGAATTTGATGTTCTTCCTCTAAACTCTCACACTTGGACACCTTAAGCCTATTTTCTATCATTTTGATGTTACCAATTTGATTTTCCTCTCACCTCCATTGGGCCTGTCCCTGGTCCCTGTGATGGTGCGCAGATGGGGGTTAAACAAGAGGCAGTTCGCGGGATGGCAGCACAGGGGGAATACGGGCAACCGTGGGCTGCTGTTCTTAGGAGTTTTGTCCCCGCCCCCGGGGCCAGTCTTTGGAGCCCACTCTATGTCCCAGGTCTGGATCTCCCATTCTTTCTTCTTTCTTCTTCAAACTCCTCAACGGGCCTTGGGCTTGGCCTCCATCCTGTCCGTGGAGAGTAGGTGGGGAGGCAGGGCAGGTATTAAATCTTGGCCTTCATCCTGTCTGTGGAGACTAGTGGGGGCGGAGGCTCCTAGTCTCACTCCCAGGCCCCTTCACAGCCAGATGCTGACAAAGAACCAGACTGTCCCCTATTGCTGAGCAGGGTGGGCTAGGAGAGGAGGGAGCAGAGCCTAGGGAAAGGCAGGAGGGGAGGCCTGTTCATGTCTCTGGCTCTGAACATGTCTCTCTTCCTTCTCCAGAGGTTTAGTTCTCAGAACCTTATGACCTAAATGC